TATCTGACTCTTTTAGTTTTAGGACTTACAAACAACCGTTATGTGAACAAAACTATAATACTCTCTTTAGCAACTTTGTTGCGAGAGTATAAATAAATAAATTTGATAAAATATAAATGATACGAGGTAACGTAAAAGCTTAATTCAATAATTTTTTATTCAGTTGGTTATACGTAATGTAGTACGTACCAAAGGTCGTCCATAGCAACATTCTACAACTCAGACTCTAAAATATCATTATTCATGGCTCTATAGTATTCCCCATTGACTGTAATGTTATGGCCGGTTTCATTTTTGAAAAAATATGCACCAATGCTCCCCAAACAGTATGAACCAAAGTTGCTCGAACACCAATCCTGCTGGGTAATTATGCCGTATATTGAACGCAGCGAACTGAACCATTATTTAGTAATAAATCCTCACAATTTACAAGATTGTTCCGAAGTAAGTTTGTTCATTATGAAATGGTCAACCAAACTGAGTATGAATTTAGTAATAGCTGTCAAAAAGATCAACTTCTAAAAAACTATTGTCTTATTGAAAATCATACTTTTAAAAAATACCAGTTACCTAAATGGAGTTAATTTGACAAAATCAATTAATTTACTAAATTGATTTGTTAATTGAAAGAAAATTGAACTAAAAACAATTCACAAAACTCCGAAACTCCATAAATTATCACTCCTAAATCACTTGGTACTTTCCTTCAGTATATATTTGAATGTTTGTATGAACGAGTATTAATTGAATAGAAAATTTATTTGCAATTGAAAACTAATAATCGTTTCAATTAGCTAAGACAGTTAGGTAATTGACTAAATTAAAAAGTTGTCAAATATGACTGTAAGATTCACGAACCGATTTGAATAATTTAGCTACAGTTCGGTATATTCGAGATAATAAGAGGTCAAATGAAAAGTCCACGTTGTTTTGGCACAACTTGTTGTTTTATCCAACATAGATTCCTTCAAGGATGATGCACTGATTATAGAGGCCCCCAAATTTTCAATACGATTTTTATAATATGTATAGTCCTTTGCTTCAAAATTTTTCTCATTTTCTGCGATCACCCCCTCAATCGACGAAAATTTCTTCGTAGCGAGCATTCTTTTGAAAGCTCAGCACAAGAAATAGTCACTAGAAGCCTTACTGGAGAATACGGTAGATGCGGAAGTAATTGGAGGCCCAATTTATAGATTTTTGCCATCGTTTTCGCTGCCTTTTCTTCAAATGCGGGTGGCTTTTGTCGATTTCGTCCTTTAAACGATCAAATAACGCTATGAAAGAGTCACTGTTGATAGCCCTTCCATTTTCAAGGTAGTCAATTATTCTATGCACATATCAAAATACAGACCCAATAACCTTGTCAGCCCTCTAGTGGTGCGTTTTTCCACGCTTAGGAGCGGGTTCACCGTGTGCAGTTCACCCGGACGACTGCCGATTGGTCTTCGAACTGAAATAATGGAGCCATGCTCTTCCATTGCCAAATATCGATGCAAAAGCTCGGCTTTATTACGCTTCAAAATCTTCAAACTTCGAATCATCTATTCGTCGTTGTTTTTGGTCAAAAAGAAGCACGCGCAGCATCCACTTTGAACAGCGCTTTCTCATACACAAATATTTGTGAAGGATATGCTGTACACGTTCAGTTGATATCTTTAAAGCGTCTGCTATCACGCACAATTTCACTTGAAGGACATCTAAAACTATTTTGTAGACTTTTTTGATATTTTTCCGCTAAAAAACTTCTTTGAGGATCGTATGATTGACTTTCCTGGGGCCTTGACGTTGGCGAAGACCATTACAAAAACTACAACGAATCCGGAAACTCGTCATGACGACAACTTTTTACTTCAACAGTATTTTATCACTGCAAAAAGTAATATTTTATCAAACCGCGAGATTCGTTTTTATCTAATTCTTCACAAAAACGGAAGTTGCTTCACTCAAAATGATATAAATTGCAAAGTAATGATCCGATAACTGAGGCTAATTAAAAATCGTATGGGCTTAACTATAGTGGCGCCATCTATGTGTCAGGTCGGGGACTTTTCAATTGACACTCGCAAAATTTTCCACTATTTTAATAATCTTCTATATATGGAGAGGAACTATATTTGACAAGAATATGACAAGCATTTCCAAATTATGTGGAAATTAAAACTGAGAGACTTCAGTAACCGATAAAATTTTTTTTAAATTCAAAACTTATTAGCTGAATTAGCTTAGGTATGCTCAAACATCAAACAATTTCATATGTATGTGAAGTAAAAACATCCCTTATGTAACATAATTCCCACTTTGCATTTAATTGTCAAAACCACTCGCTCGTCTCTAAGGTGTTAGCTGTTATGTAACTCGAACCAACTTTCCTACTAAACTAGTTTGCTAACTCCAATGCTAGCTTTATGAAATTTTGTTTGATTTGAAAAAGTTTTAAATGAATTTCTTCTCTACATCTCATCACAATATAGTAACTCAGCACCGTTCGAATAGTCCAGCACAACACTCCAGTTCCGGTTCATCGCCGGTGATGTCAAATAGTAGTTCTAGTCCAGCGCCACCTTCCAGCAGTCCTAGTCCGCAGGAGAGCCCCAAGAATTGTAGTTACATTTACCGTGATTGATTGATATGTAATACCAAATCGATGCCATTAATTAAAACAACAACAACAACCGCAACAACAGCAGCAGGAGCAGGAGCAACAGTTAACACCAGAGCAGCAATGCAGCAAGCAAGCGCTACTACTAATGACGCAACAACAAAGCCAACACATGCAGCAGCAGCAGTAACAACAACAAGTGCCGACACGCGTAACGCATGCGTCAAAGTGCGCACCAGCACGCTCGCCAAATCCGTGCCAGCCACACCCGTACAACCGAAATCACCAACCGCACACTTCATATCAACCTCACCCGAATGTGAGGGTGGCCGCGCAGCAACGGCACGCACCATGTGCGTCAATGATAACGGTGACGATGACGACCGCTACAACAATTGCAGCGAATATCTGCCACATTCCTATCCAAATTTCACATTCGATCTGTCCGAAGACGACTCCAACGACGACTACGATGACGAGCTGGAGTTGGACGATTCCTCGCTGGCGATGATCACACCGCCACCACCATATGTCGATACACCATTGCAACAGTATGCGCGTGCGCACATACCACCACCGCCGTCGCACGCCACACGTACACGCCGCGCCGCCACAGCGCCACCGCCACCGACGCGCAAAAAACTCTTTCAGAATCGCGAGATCTTCAACATCAATACGCCGCCAACGACGACGCTGACGCCGAGCAGCAGTAGCTTTGCTAGCGCCATAACGCCGACCAAGCTGAGCGCCGCAGCGGCCGCGATGTTTGCGGCGCCACAAATGGCGCAATTGAACAAGAAGTGGACGCAGTTGCATCGTAAGCGGCGACGGCGCAACAGCAGCTCTGGCGATTCGAAGGAGTTGGACAAATTGGTGTTGCAATCGGTGGATTGGGATGAGAATGATATCTATTGAGGTCGGCTTGTGCGCAAGACTTAGTGGCAAGCATGTGATTTTGCTGCTTTTACTGCGCTCTGCTTACATACATACATACATACGTACATCTATATGTATGCACACTTTTGGCGTTTCTTTACTTGGCTTAAACGTAGTCTCACATGCATAATTTTTCCATTCGAAATACATATATAGTATATACAAATACAACAAGCATATAATAAATAATAGTAATATACATGCATACATATATAGTATATAGTATAATCATAATTTAAATGCGTACATACATACAAACTAAAAAAAAAAACAGCATAAGCAGATGAAGCAAAGTACACAGTAGCGTTAAGTGTACCAGTAGGCAACAATAACAGTAAAAAATAAAATAAACGCGGAAGCGCAAGTAAGACCGCAAGCGTTAATCACTTAGTAAGAGTAGCTGCATTAGACTTTGTATTCGGCAAAGTAAAGATTTTTTGAGAAATATTTAAATAATATTTAATAAAATGAAAAAGACAAGTTGTGTTATTTGTGTAAGCATACATACATACATGCATGCCAAAAAACACACACAGCAGCATTTTGAGTTATGTCTTGACACACACACAATTGCGCTGAACTAGTAACAGAACACCCACACTAAAGTTGCCACACAAACTAAACAAACCATGCGGTGTTCCAAATATGCCCTCACTAGTATTTTGTAATATTTTTTTTGTACTGAAAAGTATTTTGAACATTTGTTTTTTGTACTGAAAAGTAATTTGTAAATTTTTCTTTATACTCAGTAATGTTTTGTATATTTTTTCACATTTATATTAATTAAAATTTTTGTAAATTTTGTTTTAAAACTTCAAAATTAGCATATTTAGTGTATATATAAATAATAATACGTAAACGCTTAGTATTACTCAAATAATTAATTTTTATTACGATTTTGGAATTCGATTTCGAATTTCAAATATTCGCATAATACGTATTTTTCACCCCAGAACGGTTGTGAGTCGTTAGGGTAAATTATTTTTTGTTGTTTTTAGTTATTAATTATAGTTTTAGAAAATAGCAGCATCTCCTCAATTAAGTTATACAAAATCGATTTAAATAAATATATTTTTTATGAAATATCTGCTTATATTCAATGATGTATGCTAATTCAAAATTAATGTAAAAGCAAAAAATAAAAAATAATAATTCATAAAAATTTTTTCACGATCACAAAAAAAGGTCTTTCATAGAATTTTCAGAACTGCGCAGCAATAGAGGTTAAGGGAGGAAGTTAAAAATTTTAACTTTGAGAAGTGTCAATACTGCCTGAGCTGAATATAACCAAGTCCCTTAAAACGTGCTATTCAAAATTCTATACAAATTGTACAGAGTAGTACTGTAATTTTATATAATATAATATAAGAGTCCAAAAGTAGTAACTTCAGCAGTTTGTTCGGACTGCTTATGACCGCAGAGGGATCTTTAAGCCGCAGTAACGGTTGGAATTCTCTATTGATAACAAAATTTCGCGATGGATCCCGAAAATAATGATACTAAATTTTTCATTAAAGCTAATTTTTATGAATAAATCTCGGTATTTACATGTCATTTGCAACTATTCATAATCCCGAAATTTCGGGGTTGATCCCGAAAACCATAATACTAAATTACTCAATAGAAATTATTTTTATAAGGTTTTTTTTTAATTTTTGGTGTAAGAATTAGTAAAGAAACGCTAAACTAGAAAATCCCGAAATTTCGGGACCGTTCCCGGTACCAAACTTTGCATTAAAAACAAATTTTTAGGAAGTAATTGCAGTAGTTCATGATCCCATAATTCAAACTGGTTCATTATAATTCAAATACCAAAAATTTCGATGAATTTCACTCGACCTCATTTGCCGATTGTGTATTAAAAAAATTTATAGTTTCAAAAAAAAAAATAATAAAAACCCCGAAACATGAAAATAACGAAATTTAATACCAAATTTTTCATTAAAGCAAATTTTTGTAAATGAATTTCGGTATTTACATCACATTTTCAACTTTTCCTAGCCCCGAAACTTCGGGTTTGATGCCGAAAACCATAAATCAAAATTTTTTATAATTTTGTTTTTTTTTTTGTTTTTATAAGAATTTTTGTATTTACATGGTAAATTGAGAAAGTGTGTAAATAATTAGCAAAACAATACTAAATTTGAAAATCCCGAAATTTCGGGACCAATCCTAGTACCAAGTTGTGTATTAAAAACAAATTTTTAAGAAGCAATGCCTATAGACAGTAAATAAAAGCGTTTAAACTGAAAATCTCGAAAATTTCGGTATTACAATTACAATTAATAACTAAAATGCTTAAACAAAAATTCCGAAATTTCGGGATCAATCTCGAAAACTAAAGCAATTCGTTTTTTATTAAAAACAAGTTTTTATTAAAGAATTTCTGCAGGCGCTTGTCATATTATTAAATACTTTGAGTAATTTAAAGAAACTTGCTGGTACTTTGAATTAATAAAATGCTTTAGAAGTATTCAAAGTCGTGAAAAGTAAAGAAAAATATAAATATTTCTATAAAATAATACAAAATATAACAATTTAAAAAATTATTTAATTATTTTGAGCTTTCAATTATACACAATATAAGTTTTTAGTATTTATATGTTCAAATGCTGTTATTTTATATTTTAGTCTGCTTTTAGGCGCATTATAAGTTCACTCTGTAATAAGCTTACTAATTAATTGTAATTATAATTTTGTACCACCTTTTGTACATTACTTCATCATAAATACAATATAAGTAGAGTTTTTTAAGCTAAAAATTAATAAAGATTATTTAACACTATTTTACAGCGATTATTTTTTAGACATAATCATAGCTTTTTAAGTGATTTGCGCTTATACGCTTTTGTCTAACTTCCTCCTTTTAGAAGCTTTCGCAAGTAAAATTGTTTGAAAAATAATATTTCATTATTTTGTATTATTTTACACACGCTTATTTTATAAAATTATAATTTTTTAAATAAAATTTTTATTTATAAACTAGTGCAATTTATAACTTTATTATTATTAGTTTATGTTTTAAGTAATACGAATGAAGTTAAGTATACCAAAAATACGAAAACGATGAAATTGTACACCGAAATAAATTAATACGAATAGAAATGTCAAAAAAAACAATTTTTTTTGTTTGTTTTTGCATTATTTGTGATTTTGATTTGCAATAGGAAAATACGCTGGCGAAAAGTCATCAAGGAATTTTGCTATTTTATTTATTTAATATTCTCTCAAACCGGCTTAAGCTTTTCTTTCATACAATCGCTGTTGTATGAAAAGCACATAAGGTAGAAAGCAATAATTTATAATTTTTTCATTATATATTCCCAATTTAATTATTTTTATTACTTATTTATTAATTTAAAC